ATAACAATCGATCATTATTTCTAATCAAATTACTCTTAGTTTATGAGATTTTTAGAACTAATACCCAGATTTTAATCATTAAGGATTAGGATAGAGTACCACGTCCCAAAGTAGGATAACAAGTCGATAAAGAGAGAGAAGGTGAAAAATCCCAAAGTACACTAGTAATTAAAAAAAATCCCAAAATACATAAGTTATAAAAAAATTTCCAAAATACACATGTTTCACATTCACCGTTTTTGTCTAACGCAGTGAACATAATCACCGCTTCAGACAAACACGGTGAACAATTCACCGTTTTTATTTAAATTGATGACATATTCACCGTGGTTAAGCAAAACATTGAATAACGAGGGAACCATTCACCGCCTTAAACGAAAATGGTGAAGACATCACCGTTTTAATAAAACGCGGTGAAATATTCACCGTATCAATCGGCCACGATGAAAATAGTGCGGATTGCTGACGAGGACAAACGCGGTGCATTCACCGTGTTAGACAAACACGGTGAATACCACGTGTTTGTCCACGTCAATGATCCGCATCGCGGATCCGCTCACCGTTGTTGTTGGATGCGGTGAGGTGCGGATTTTGGTTTTCTTCCTAGATCCGACGCCTCACAGTGTCCCACGTCACTCGATTTGCGCCCTTCACCGTCTTTCTCCCTCCATCCATCCAGAGTCTCATTCAAAGTATTCTCTGTGGTTGCGGCTAAGTCCGTTCTTCCACAAAAGAAAGAACTACTAGAGTTATACCCTAAAGCCCCCGTCCCTTATAAACTCGTCCAACCTCTGTCCGGCTTCCTCCAAAAAATGAACGAAGAGGCTCTTCAGGTAGGTTTTTGGTTTTTCTTTTGTGATTTTTTTTTAATTTAAACAATTTGATTTTGTGATTTTTTTTAATCAAAACAATATGATTTCATTACTTTTTTTTATAGATGGGTACCGAGATATACGATCATCGATTGTATATCTATTATGGGCCCAGAGATATGAGGTATTTAACCGATCAAGAAGCACATCGCTCCCGTGCAATTTGGGACAACAATCTGGTAAATTGACGATTTATTTTGCTTTATTTTATTTTGCTTTCTTTAAACAAACGAATTGATGTTTTTCCTATTTTTTTTTTAGGAATTACTTATTCTCGTCATTCATAAAGGGACCACAAACCATCCCGCTTGGCATGATCGGTTGGTGTCGTATATAGAGAGGATCGGGTTGGGTATGCTGAGGCATTTCAGGAGGATTGAAATCGACAACGATCTGCTTACGGCAATGGCGAAGAGATGGCGCCTCGAAACCCATACGTTCCACCTTCCGGAGGGGGAAATGACGATCACCCTCAAAGACGTCGCGATCCTCACCGGGCTGCCGATTACTGGAGAGGCCATCATTGGTACCACTACAAAACCCAAAGGAGGTTGGGGGTCGCTCATTCGTGCTGAATTGGGATTTGACATGCCGACCACCACACCAATTCAAGGACGGGGGCATCCACCGTTGAATGCGGGACAAGTGTCGATCCCGTGGCTCGTAACTCACATCCAAAATGAGATGGAAATCAATGACGAGACTCCGAAAGATCAAGTGGAGCGCTATGCACGCATCTACATCATTGGTTTGGTGGGTGGATTTCTGTTCCCCGACAAGTCAAACAGGTGGATTCAAGGCATATGGTTGTCATTGCTCATTGGTGACTGGGACGCAATCGGGTAAAAGAGTTGGGGATCGGTCGTGTTAGCTGGCATATATAGGGAGCTCTGTACTTGCTCGAAGGTGGGAGCGAGACAAGCTGGTGGGGCGATGTTCATCCTCCAGCTCTGGGTATGGGAGCATCTTCCAATGTTCGCACCTCAAGACCCACGTCCATACTAGAGAGCAGCTGATGAGCTACGGTTTGTGCAAAATCTCCCCTATGGTGCCAAGTAAGTTTATTCCATATTTAGCTAGATTTAAATTTATTCAATGCTTAGGTAGATTTAAATTACTTTTATTCCGTACTTGGCCTAATTGATAATTTATTCCATGCTTCGCTAGATTTAAATTACTACCCATTACGTACTTAGCCTAATTGCTAATTTATTCCATGCTTAGCTAGATTTAAATTACATTTATTCCATACTTAGTCCAAATTTAAATTTATTCAATGCTTTTACTTACAAGGTGGATAGGAGCAAATACAAACGATCATCAACCTGAGCACTCTTCACTAGATATCTGGTTGTGCTTCGATAAGGTGCTTAATAGTTCTCCCAACTTTCTTTGCTATAAGCTGCCTGTGATACTGGGAAAGTATGGACGAGGAGAAAGTGTGGTTGGTCTCAGCTTTTCGAATCACCCAGACACCCTTTCTCTTCATATTTGCAGCCCGCAGTTGCCACATACAGCCCTTTGCATCATTTACTGTCAGAATATTTTACCTTCCACTCGAAATTGTGCCTCAAGGCCTCTTCGGTAAAAGCATCTTGCACAGCGTCCTTCGATGTGAACGCCATACCCACCTCCAAATTGGCCGTCGGATTATACACTGACATAGGGACAAAGTCGGGGGCATCATTCTGACTATGTAAAAATTGAGTTGGAACATGTGTGTAGTATGGCGTCGGTGCCTCATGAAATGGCGCCTCGTCGTCGGTATCGTCAGTATCTTCCTCCTCGCTCACTGATCTCAAATCTTCCTCAGTATCATCGTCGCTCGAGTCGAATGGATAGCTCGGGCCAGAAGGATCAACATGACCACCATCACCAACATCGTCTTCTCGCTCATGTGAAGTACGCCCCGATCGAATGGTATTCTCGATTTCAGCCCACTCTGGCCCCCAAGCAGGCCATTGAACGTCATCGGCCTCAACAAATGGGGCAAGTTGATCCCGTTGCGAGTATTCTTCCGATGGCACCCATCATGCACTACTACCTCCACCGTAGTTGCTTGAACCACCCTCTCCGTAACCTCCTATATAACCACCTCTTTTGTAGTTGCTCGAACTACCACCCCATCCGTACCCTCCTGTAAAACCATCATCATAAGAATACTAGTGAGAATGAGTTTCACCGACCGCCTCGGTCTCAACATACACCTCTGCAAGCCGCATCCTGTTATCGCTTAGGAACTATAACATCATCATAACCGCCTCATCATCGTTTATGAAAACTTCTTGGTACACAACCCCGCCAGCACTCATGTCTGGATACCGGTAACTAATTTTACCAAGTCTCGTCTGTCCGCTCGTACAAACCCTGTCTGCACAAATATCACAGAGTTCTTGAAAATTGAATCATGACTCAATTTTCAGCATAGTGGATTCACCGTCCTCGTAATCAATCACTATGTCAGAGTTTGTCACCCTTCCATTCCACCGAATAATAAGCTGAAATTTCTTGAATTTACCCATATCTACAATTTACAATAAGTAACTATTAGCTTAACTTCAGTAAAATCAACCAAAATCATATTGTACGACTAATATTACATCTCATGACATAACATAACAATATAACTACTAAAAACATCATTAGGCTACAATACAAAAATTAAATCATACCGAAAATTCTTGTTCTGTGTATGTTGCTCGGTTTTGGTTGCTGAAATTTGAAGAGGGAAAGGGGTTACGTTTTTACAACTGCTGGTGGGAGTGGTATTTATAAGAAAATCGGCCAGCATTCACCACGTTTGTCTCCAACGGTGAACACCATCACCGCGTTCCCTAAAGCGGTGAATATTAGGTGATTGTGACCTAATTTTCACCTACCAGGGATGGGAAACAATCACCGCCGTAACCTAGGGCGGTGAAGTTGTTCCCCGCTTTGCCCTAAAACGGTGACTTATTCACTGTTGTCAACAAACACGGTGAAGTCTTCACCGTTTAGGTTAAACGCGGTGACTTATTCACCGTTTTGCTTAACCACGATGAATACATCATCGTTTTAAATAAAAATGGTGAAATGTTCACCCCGTGTTTTTCTGATGCGGTGATTATTGTTCACTGCGTTAGGCAAAAAGATAAATGTGAAACATGTATATTTTGGGAAATTATTTTAATTACTAGTGTGCTTTGGGATTTTTTTCATAGAGAAGCATGTAAAATAAGAATTTAAAGTAAAACGGTAGCAAATGAAATGAAATTACGAGATTTTTAACGTGATTCCCCAACTACAGATCAGTCCACATATAACAAAAGTGAATCTCGGAGACTATTTTATTTGGTTTTTTCTATCATTGCAATGAAAAGAAGGACAGTACAATTCGTTACCCAACCTAGACAAATAAGAACCTCTCCTCTTCACTGAATATTTCCCTCCGGTACTTTGCAGACCTCTACCTCTATCAATTACAAAGGTTATCATATCTCGATGGCTAGAGAGTCGTATAAATAGCTGCCATGGAAACTAGTCGTTTGATGAGGCTGATTACTTGAAGAGTGTCTCCTTTTTTTTCTGCCTTAATGAGAGATGAGAAGAATCTCTTTCCTTTTCTGATTTTCGCCAACAAGTTTCCAGTTAACTGGGTTGAAGGTTTCAAAAACAATTGGGTTGAAGGTGACTGCGATAAACAAAGACAATGTTTAATAAAAATAAAATAAAAAGTGATAGATGAGTACCAGACAAGTGTGATTGAGTACCAATTGAGATGAACATATACCAATAGAAAAATAAAACAATAAATCAGCACCAAATAAATAGCACTAACACTTCAAATACATTAATAGCAGTTCAGAAGAACCAATACCAGTTCAGACGAATCAATACCACAACAAAAATAAATCAATAACAAATCATACAACTACACTTCAAAATACTATCACTTCAGAAACACCAATATCAGTTCATACGAACTAATACCATAATACTAAAGTTATAGATATCCCATTCTCGCCGCAGGTGACAAGAGGGCAAGCGGCGTAATTGACCAGGAGGTCGTGGTGAGTGTTGGAAAGGTCATTGACTAGTTTGAGACGGTTAAAATAATAACAATCACAGAGCAGAATTGTCATCCTATAAGAAAGTCCACTTGTTTTAGTCCACCAATTGAAAAGCAACAAAACCATCCCCACTCAAGATTGATACCACTTGACACTTGTGGGCACTAGAAAACAATGCCATGTTTTACTACAATAACGCTAATCGGAAAACAAACTTAGAAAACAGATCGGAATAGCGCCCGTCGGGGTTACCTACGCAAGTGAGAAGCTGCTAGAGGGCGACTGCAATAAAACAGTTTACTGCTAGCTCAACAAATATCCATCCTTGTGCTGGACAAGATAAGTTGCCAAACGCCAACCAGCGTAGAAACAACACAAAAGTCACAAGTTCTAAATGCAAATTATCAGAAATTAGACAACTTCATAGGTGCCCAGCCTGGGACAGCAGACATAACCCCTCGTGTACAGCAAAAAATATCGATTTCAATTTCGGCCCGGAGAGAAATATGTACAGATGCATCGTCGAGTAATATAACACTGCCAAGAAGAAAGACGAGAGAGAGAGTCTAAAAGGACTGCTCCTACCCACACAGCTGCATTGGTCTGGTTGGGACCGATCCGTAGTACGTACAGCCCATTTAAATTTCAACTGGTACCCCCACCCTGCAAAGTTGAGACATTGAGAAATAAGGCAAGGCTGCTGAGGAAGCAGTAACAAGTTCTCGCATGAAACCCAAAGGCGCACTGACGGGCACCTTGACTGCTCTAGAGAAGTGCATACTAGTGTTTTCCAGGGACATTGTTAGTGTTGGATTCGGTGTTACAGAAGATGCATGACAGCCAGTTAGGGAAACAAATACCAACTGAATCTCGTCAACTCATGTAAACAACCAACTCACTTCAACGCTAAGTTGCTACCTAATGGTGCACACACTGTTTGTGAAGTTGTCAGTTGGATGAGCTCAGAATGGAATGGGACAAATACGCGATTAAGTCCTTTACAAATATGTTAGTACACGGTCTGCATTGGCATCCTACACTCATAACATCACCTACTAAGTGTGGCAGGCCCAAACAAGTTTCTGGTTTGGTGTGTCTCGAGACTGATCAGGGAAATCTGCTCCATTTCTGAAAAAGTGACTCTTAGACCAAATTATTCTATCAATGTGCTCTAAATTGGGATATAAACAGTCCACACCGTTGTCTTCGTCATACTGATGAGTAGAACACGGAATAAACCACAATTGAAACGAAAAGAAAGGGGATAATCACATCTTCCAAGTAAGAGTTCTGAAATCAACCCATTTAATAGTAATATATATATGTTGAAGAGAACATAAGAAAACAGTTATTCAAAATCTCCATATTTCCATTCGAATTGAAAAATAGCATGGAGTGCAAATAAAATAAATTATAAGCAATTCCATGAATGTACCAGACAGGGGAATACAACTATCACCACTTGTAGGCACACGGGAAACAAACCGCATATATCAGTGCAAAAAGGAAAGAACGCCACGACTCAACGGTAAACAAGGACAATATATAAATAATTAGATGAAACTAATGGAATAGATTAGAGTGTATAGCTGACCTCAACTCAGGATTACGTGGTTCAAGTTTCAGCCCACCGTCACATTTTGTTTGACATCATGAACTTAGCATTTGCATTTTTTTCTGCAGGTTTCAAAATCTGAAAGGAGCACATCAGGTCCTCATCGACACTCATCATAGCACCAGCATTATCGAATTCGCCACAATAATTGGGAGCTGAGAATATGGTCACAAGTTGCCTATCAGCAAAAAACTCATATCCATCCTCCACAACCTAGACAAAAATAAAGTCAGATTAATTTCCACAACAGACCAGAATGTTCACCGAGAAAAAATAACAGTAGCCAAGTGAAAGTGGATCACCTGATGTGCACGGCAGACAAGGTCCAAATCGTGCTTGTTCAAGAACTCAGATACCTTATCAGGGCCGAAGGTATATGAAACTCCACGATCATTCATTCCCCACCCTTTAACATCTCTACCAGGATCTGACCATAACAAATCACACAGCAAACCAGTGTCTGGAAGAGCAGTTGGGCGAGGCAAGTTTCTGATTTGATCTAAATGTGTCAAATCCGGGGAAAGACCACCATGCATGCATAATATTTTGTCATCTATGAGAGCTGCGACAGGAAGGCAATTAAAAGAGTCGGTGAACGATTTCCAAAGCCGCACATTGAACCGCCTCTTGCATTCATCATAGAATCCATAAATGCGATTTATAGAAGCACATTCATGATTTCCTCTTAGGAGGAAAAAGTTCTCCGGGAATTTAATCTTGTAGGCAAGCAAGAGGCATATAGTCTCCAAGCTCTGCTTGCCACGATCAACATAGTCTCCCAAGAATAAATAGTTGGCCTCAGGTGGAAAACCACCATACTCGAAAAGCCTCAACAAATCACTGTATTGCCCATGAATGTCACCTTCAACACCAGACAGAAAATGTCAAGTCCCAGGAAATCAAGCATACCAAAATGTTGAATTAAGGTTTACTTAAAAAACACTTAAACCACAAGGAAACAAAGCACAAAAGAAACACGTTGATAGACATAAACCACCAAAAAAAGGCGCACATATGTTATCTCTAGTACATAAAAGCAAAGGAAATAGTTGAATGAAGACATATAACCAAAGAAAAGAGGCATGCACATCAGACCAACACAAGCACAAGATTGTCAAACTCATATATGACATACTAAATTTGTAAACCATATCATAACAACTACAAAACCTCCATAATTACCCAACACCCTCTTACCTGCATGCTTTATTTAACTGCTATAGATGGTTCATTCCAGCATCAAATGCCCCTCAAATGATCTGGAGTTCATTTGTAGGTGTCTTAAATAGAAATCAAGAACAGATGCAAAATTAGAAAGACAATAAATAATTAAATATAAGGGACACTTGTCCATGGAACTCCCAAATTTCAGTCATTCAGTTACTCCACAATACAACAGCGCCTAGGTTTCCTTTATGTACTATTAAACCAACTAATGTCCTTCTCTTAACAAGCTCGGCAATCAACCAGCAGCAGTAAGAAACGCAACTTCATGTACAAGCATTGAGCCCCATTGGTACTCCACTTGATGTAGAGATATAATTTGGAATCGAATTAGGTCATATAGGTTTGGTATAATCCCATCACCACTACTGCTACATCTAACAGAAAACGAAAGGATACTAACCCTAATAGTCCACTACGAGACCAACCCAGCTCTCCTCTTGACCAACACTCAAGGAAGTAAAACAGCTCGTCAATGGTAAAATAGCCAGAAAACCATCAATTCTCCCCAATTTCTAATACAGAAGGAAGAAATAAAGGAACCCAAGAAGCGTACCGCAAATCTTGATGGGGGCCTCTAGCTCGAGCAAATTGGGCTGCTGAAGGAAGACCTCGCGGGAGGCGAGACAGAGCTGCTTAATCTCAGCCTCGGAGAGCTGGACCCGCTTGCCAGGTCTGGCTGATCGGACCTCTGTGAGACGTTTAATTAAATCGTCTAGCACTGCAGGGTCCATTGCCACCTGTCCTTGTGTTGCCATATCCGATTTTGGCCAAGCCCTCCCAAGCTGCTTCTATACTTGCCAATAACAGACCCTCACCAGATCGATAAATCCCTCCTACAGACCAATCTCTGCAAATAACAGAGCAATTGAAATATCAGACAATCTGGGATTTTGGTGATAAGAGAACTCGACGTTTCCCAGCCAACAACCTAATTGACGTAACAAGCCTCAAGACGCGGTGGCTCACGTTGATCCAGAGGAGTGGAGTTAACTAGAATATAAGGAAGAAAGTCCACTTTACACCTTTCAAAGAGTTGAATTGTTCAGTACGCGAAAGACAAAACAAATAAATTCCAAAGCGCCATGAAATTGACCAAAACTAAATAGGGAACCAGAAACTAATTGGGATTGTTCTTCTTTCAATTCAAAAGATATTTCCGGAGTTCCCCTAGCTCAGGCGGCAGCCGGAAATTACCAAAACAGGGGAATAAAAGGTCGGAATTAGAGAGGGGTTTCCCAGATACAAACAGTTCAATAATACAAAGCTTCAAAATAAGCAACACTAAAAATCTCAAAACCTATTATAACATCACCGATCGTTAATAAACGTCGATTGACTGTAAGGATCACAGCAGGAGTAGACAACTAAAATATACAAGGGAAAGGAAGTTACCTGACCTCTGGGGTTCTAATTTGGAGGTCTACCCACCTACGCCTTGTTCGCTTTATCTCCCTAGAATCAAAAACCCATCGATGGGTATGAGCGGTGACGATTTCTTGAATGATACTCTCATGGCAGGCAGTGGGTAAGATGGAAGAAAATGAAGGGTCGTACGAATAAGGGGAAGCCGTCTCTCAGTACGAACCCTTTGAATGAAACTCTTCTTCTTTCTTTGCAAGACCTTATCGCTCACCCCGTTCTAGTCCTAGATCTCATCGCATAAATCACCGGTTTGCAGACCGAACTGAACCGAACCAACAATGAATAAGACTGTTCTTCGAGTTAATTTCAAACCAAACTTTATTTCGGTTCAGTGTGTTTCTGTTTAGTAGGGATGGCAATGGGTCGGGTTGGGTCGGGTTTTGCCAAACCCAAACCCAAACCCATGGGTTTATCTGTGAAAAAAACCCGGGGTAAAACCCACTGGGTTTGAAAAACTCAAACCCAACTCGCTGGGTATCCGCGGGTTCATGGCTACCCACGGGTTTTTGTCTTAAAAATTTTACAATAACAACTTCCTATTAAAATTAAGGGCTAATACCACTACAACACCCGAACTATCCTGAAAATGCCACTTGTGTCCTATTGTTTCCAATATTCCATCTGTGTCCTGAACTATTATTCCGTTAATGTTGACCGGCGTTGACCGTTAGTATTTAACAGAAAATCTAGTCAGCATTGACATGGCATCTGACGTGGAATTTTCATTATCAATTTTTATTTATTTTTCCATCTAAAATAATAAAAATAATAAAAACAAGGAAAACAAAATGAAAAATCCCAAAATCTTTTTAATCCCTTCGCCAGTCCAGCTCCTCTACCTCGCCGCTGCACTTCTTCTCTGCCGCCGCAACATCACCCTACTACAAGAAGACCACTTGAATTTGCTTCATAGCTTCCTCGCGTCTCTGCTGTATAGCTGCAGTGCCCAGATAGCTAAATCGGCATAGGAGGAGTAAAGGAGGTGAATCATTTCACCATCGGCCGCCCAAAGAATCCAATCACCTCCTCCGCTATCCCCATACCCTCACTCCCCTCCGCCTTCTTTAGTCGCCGACGGAGGTGGTTGAATCTGGCCCCCTTCTGGGCTTTCATCACTGAGATCCATCCGCAAGCACCTCCTAGACGACCGATCTTGTTCTCTGTGAACTTGATTTGAGGCTGCTTGCCCGAGTTCAACGTCGCCCAATTCAATATCTGTGTCGCCGCTCGACGACCTGCCATCCCTCCTCGCCCAATTAAATATCTGGCCACAACGCCCTCTCCTCCTCACTTTCACCGCATCCTCCGCCGCGGTGAGGTTTTTCAAATTTGCATCATCGATTTGAAATCCCAGCCACCATCGATCCTGGTCGCCACCACCTCCTAACCCTATGTTCTGCTTCCCGTACCCATAAATAAGGTGGATTTCATCCAAATCCCAGCCACCGTGGGCTCTGTACAGAGGGATACCCTCCGCCTCCTTACTGAAACCATCTGCCCTCGTCATATCTTTCATCCTTTTCCTTACCTTTTTTCTCTCTTTACAGCTGAATTCGCCCGGAATCTGGCCTTGGTTGCTTCTTCTTGTTCTTCAACACTGCTCAACGGAGGTAGGTGGGAAGGTGACAGCTGCCGGAATCTGGTGGAGGGAGACTCGATCCTCCTACCACTCTCGCTAGATCTGTTTTTTTTTTTTTTTGTGAGACTTTCTTTGCTGGCCGCTGTTGTTCATGCCCGATGAAGAAAGGGATGATCCTTTTTTGACAGAGGAAGAAGAAGAAAGGGAAAGTGAAAAGTCAAAATTTTCATTAATGTTGAGTTTACATTTATTGAGTTTTTTAATATTATTTTTTATTTAATTTTGAATATAAAATATGAGGTGTCAATGACGTGGCATCTATGTGGCTGCCATATTTTTTGCCACGTCAGCAAAAGTCAACTTCGTGTTGACCACCGTTATCTTTAACGGTCAAAGAAATTGACAGGATACAAATGACACAAAGTATTATAGTTGAGGACACAGATGGAATATTGGAAACAATAGGACACAAGTGGCATTTTCGGGATAGTTCGGGTGTTGTAGTGGTATTAGCCCTAAAATTAAAGTCAAATATCAATCTCTCAATACAAATTATTCATATTTAAAACACCATTCTAGAAAATTCAAGCAAATCACAAATTAACTATACAAATTGTTCAACACCAATCTAGAAAACTCAAGAAAATTGAAGTAAATCATAAATTATTCATAAATAACATGATTAATTGAAGGCTCTTCCTTTCAATTAAGTTTCTTCACTCTCCACTCGATAACACAAACTTCATTCTACACAATTAGAAAGAAAAAATTAGACATGTCTCCACAAACATAAATAAGATTAGTTGTTTAAAATATTAAATATACCGAGAAAATTAATTATATGTGTGGGCGGGTACCCACGGGTCGGGTTTACCAAAACCCAAACCCAACCCGGTGAATAGTAAACGGGTTTAAACCCAAACCCGACCCAAAACCCGTCAACACGGATTTTACCCACGTTGACCCGTGGGTTCGGGTTTGGTTGCCATCCCTACTGTTTAGCGATGGTTACTTTCGCAGTGTGGATTAAATGAATGTTACTTAGTTCTATGGGCTGCAAATGAGCCCAGTTGAGTTTTACCCCAGCTTGAGCTCGGCTCGTTAATAAACGAGTCGAGCTCGAGCTCAGCTCATTTATTAACGAGCCAAGTCGAGTCGAGATCGAGCTAGCTTGTTTATTAAAATCTTAACTTTTATTTGATACTTCATTTTGTATATCATAATACATATGATTTATTTTGTTAGCTAATCTCATATTATACTTTGTTGATATCATATATCATTTAGTTAATAAATTTTAATTACTCCAAATCATGTTATTTCATAGTATCGAAGCAATTTATGATGCATAATTTCTTTTTAAAGTAGAAAATAAGATATTTTTGCTCACAAACTCAACGTGTTAAACTTATATATGGTGAGATATATAATTTAACAATCATATGAATTAAAATCATAAGATATAGATTGATTCGTCCATAAGTTGGTAATCGAGTTGGCTCTCTAGCCACATGTCAAGACATATCATGAGCTCTAAACGAGCTAGCTCACGAGTTTAGCTCAACAAGCCACCGAATCGAGCTAGCTCGCGAGCTTCACGAGCTGAACAAAGGTGAGCTCGTGTTCAGCTCGTTTATTAACGAGTCGAGTTTCGAACGAGTTTTTCTCGAGTCAAACGCCGAGCCGCTCGCGAGCAGCTCGGCTCATTTGCAGCCCTACTTAGTTCACACCTCTTCAAACCAAGTTCGAACGAGGTTGTTTGAGTTTTGTAAATCTACTTTAAATAAGACCTAGTGCTGTGGAGATACATGATTCCATGTGCAGAGCTCCGCGACTACGATAATGGATAATCATTCATGGAAGGAGAGCTCCATAGCTTGGTGTTTATATAGTCATATAACTCGATAACTGTTCATATGGTATTTTAGTGGTACCTAGATTAAAGTATCTCGTTTGATAGAACCATGAACATATGGTATTTGGCCAAAACAGAGCAGTAAATCGAGTTATTTTGAAATAACTTTGGATAGGAGTTATGTCAAATTACCCATTTTAAATTATTTGTAAACAACTCACGACCCAAATAATTCATTTCAATAATTGTTGTCAAATGAGTTATTTGGATCGAAAGGGACTTCTCAGTCAATTTTATTCAATGGGTACAGAGATGCCACTCCACAGCTTACTTTAGTTAGTATCATCATGTATAAATTCTTGTTCGGTTTCTTCTCTGCTGAGACGGGGATAAAGCATGGGGATTCATTGTCCCCTACTTATTTACTTTATCATTAGGGCCTTTATATGATATGTTAGATTGCTCGAGAAATGCATATTGCTTATCATCCTCAGTGTTGATTGATAGATCTGAGGCACCTTTGTGTTTGTAAATGATCTGTTGATCTTCATTAAGGGTTCTACAAATGCTTTTAATGGAGTTAAAAGGGTGTTGGATAGGTTTTATATGTTGTAGAAACTATAGTACAATCCTCACAAGTGTGAGGTATTCTTTGGGAGCAAAGCGTAGGTGTTTCAGCAGACTGTTATTCGGGTTACAGTCTTTAAAGAAATGAAAACTACATGTCACATATCTAAAGCTGTCTTTGATTTCTAACGAGTTGTCTAGTCGTGAGTGTATAGTACTGGTGGATAAGCTGGCTAGTCGAAGGAGGTTTGGAGCGGAAAGACTTCAGCACATGGAATATTACATGTGTGGCTAGACTCCTATGGCTACTGCTCATGCAGAAGAGTTTCTAGGTATAGCATAGGCTGCTAAGTACAGGACCATCTCTCATATTATGGAGGCTATATTCTAGAAACAAAATGTGACCCATATTTTTTCTAAAAATCTAATAAAATATAAATAAATCATCAATCAGTAAATGAAAATCATTACAATATTATTTAAAAGAATTCAAATAGTAAATAAATTGACTTGAATCACCTAAACTGGTGACGAGAAGTTAACTGAGCTAGAAAGGAAAGTATAAAAGAATCAAAGATTAGAAACAAATAATAAAAAAATAAATATTATATAGGAGAGAAAGTGATAAATATTTAGTCTAAAATTAAGTATGTTACGAACTATTTGTAATTGATTTACTTCTTTTTTTCTTTTTACTATGTTGGCTTGTGCCTTATTGTAATTAACATTAATAATAAGAGGTAAAGTAATCTCATCTTTTTTATTCTATCTGGAAAACAAAGGATAAAGAATAGGGTATGCCTACTATGACATGCATGTCACGGTGACATGCACTTTTCGGTCGACCTATTGCTGAAGGCGGTCGACCGAATCGACTAATTTGGGCAGCACGAGAAAGCATTGCGGTCGACCTCAACGACCACCTGGTCGACCGCACTTAGTTTAAGTTGATATTTTTGGTCGACCAGAATAAAACCTGGGTCGGCCATTTCGTTGGCGTCAGAAACAACATGGTCGACCACCTAAGGTATATAGGTCGACCACTTGATTGCAGTCATTAACAAAATGGTCGACCGGATGATGAAAGAGGTCGACCAGATAGAAGATAAGTGTTCTATCAAAGTGTCCAATTAATTGACGTAAAATCAAGATCAAGTGTTGGTTTCGCGGTCGACCTGATCCGTTACGAGGTCGACCGAATACAAGAAAGTCACCCTATGCCCCGTGTCTTTTTTGCTTATGTATGTCGATTTGTGTGGTTCTTTTAATCGTATAAATTATGTTTCAAACCATCATAATTAGTCATAATTATAACAAGGACTCAACAATTCATAGCATAACAACTAAAAATAAAACAGAAATCATAATTGTTCACAACTAAAAATAAAACAGAAAAAACAACAGAATAACACTCAACAATCGTTTTGACCACTAAAACACACAATATAAAAACTCATTTCTCCTACTCATCTCCCCCCTCTCTCTCATCCACATTTTCTTCATTGGTGGTGCTAGCATGATGGTGGTCGGATGTGGTGGGATGCATGTATCTTCCGCTGAAAGATCGCCACTCATCTCGCATCTCATTCACGGTCACCTGCATTGTGCTCATCTGGGCGGTCATTTGCCCCATGTAGTCGTGCATGCCAGTCATCTGGGTGGACATCTGGCCCATGTACTCGTACATGCCATCCATGCGCTCCCACACACGCTGTAAGGTGATCGGTGGAGTTGAACTCTGTGCCTTCCCCATTGGCTCGTCTCGAGCTCCTTCATCACCCTCATCATCATCATCATCATCATCATCATCATCACCACCATGAGCATTGTTTACTCTGACATACTCACCATTACGCAGCTCAAACCCATCTTTTTCAGAGATGAAACAGTATAGAACTCCTGCCTTGAGATTCTTAACCCCACCTCTTCACTTAAATTCACATTAAAATGCTCCAATAGCACAGTGAGGATCATCCCATAGGGAAGATTCCTGTTTGAACTCTCTGCAGCAGTAAGCATGTGGTTAAAGATTAAGTATGGCAAGTTCACCTTCTCGCTTAACAGTAGGTTGGTGAGGAGCTCCATGTCATAGTAGGTGACTGTCTCCCGATGTCCACCCTTTGGCAGAATGTTGTAGGAAAGCATGTGGTGAAGAACTCTGGCTTGAACTGTCAGGTGGTTACTCGATGGCCTATTGCGCCCCTGAGCATCTTCCTCTTCATCAAGACCACATACCGTCTGGATTTGCTTGGCTCTCGTGAAATGCGTTTCATTCCAAGCACCGTAAGAATTGATTCTCTTCCCCTCGTTTGGAGCCTCAAGTACTTGCGCCAACACATTCTTGCTGATGCGCATCGCCACCCCATTCACATAGGATTTGAATGCGTGAATGGATCCATTTGCATTGCGCTCGTAGACGATGTTGTTGTAGAAGTACTATACCAGTTTTGGGTAGTATGGTACATTGAGAGATATCACCTTCAGCCACTCTTGCTCGATGAAGGGTCCCAGAAACCCGTAATTCTCGA